CAGACGAGCGTCCAAGCTTAGTCCATCATCGGACCGGCTCCGCCATCCTTCATGTTCAGTTCAGCTTCAACGCCTTGCCCTTCATCACATCACAACCGGCCCCTCAGCCTCGGCATGATTATCTATCTCAAGACCGGCTTCCTCAGCGCCGAGAGTCTTGAGCTAGCGATCGGGCTCGCCATCCCTTCCTGGATGGTGACTGTCGCTTTATATGACGATCGGCTCGTCATCGCCTCGTTATCATATTATCAGATTGGCTCATCATCATCGTCGTCCGCACATAACGATCGGCCTCTTGGCCTTGACGTGATTATTTATCTCAAGACCGGCTCCCAACGCCAAAGTCTTGTTATAGCGATTGGGCTCGCCATCCCTTCCTGGATGGTGACCATCGCATCTATATGACGGTCGGCTCATCATCGCCCCGTCATCATATTATCGGACCGACTTCACAGCATCGCCGTCCGCGCATCACAATCGGCCTCTCGGCCTCGGCACGATTATCTACCTCAAGACCGGCTCCCAGCGCCGAAGTCTTGTTATAGCGACCAAGCTCGTTACTCCCTGTAACACCCCGGGGCCCCACACGGACCCGAGGTAGTTACTCTAGACCTCTAGTACTGTCCCCACAAACCACCACGAGCGTTTATCGCGCACTTTGTCCTCACTCGTGCGCGCCCTGAGAAACTTCCCAGGGGGTCACCCATCCCAAGACTACTCCCGTGCAAGCACGCTTAACTTTGGAGTTCTTGGGTGATGAGCTCCCTTAAAAGGAGACGCACCTCTATTAGTATGAGTAGTACTATTAATCCTCTTATATTAATCTCGGGTATTACACTCCCTTCCTGGATGGCGATCGTCGGCTCTATATGATGAACGGCTTATCATCGCCTCGTCCTCATATTCAGACCGGCCCCAGCGCCGAAGTATTTATCTAGCGACTCGGCTCGCCATTCCTTTCCTGGATAGCGATCGTCGCCTTGATATGATGATCGCCCCATCATCACCTCATCATTATATATTGGACCGGCTCCTCAGCGCCGCCATCCTCATATTTAGACAGGCGTCCACCGCCTCGTCCTCATATTCAGATCGGCTCATCAGCGTCGTCATTCTCATATTCAGACCGGCTCCTCAGTGCCGTCGTCCTCATATTCAGACAGGCGTACACCGCCTCGTCCTCATATCAGATATAGCGAACATCTTGCGGTCTCCGGCTGAAAGGCTAAAGGAGCCCAGAGTTCAGCCACAGGCCCAATCGGCCATATATCGCTCCGTCATCTTTATTTGATGACGTGAAGCCCATTTATAGGCCCATCGGCCACATAACGTTCCATTATCTTTATTTGATGATGCGGAGCTCATTTACGGGCCCATCGGCCATGTATCACTCCATCGTCTTTATTTGATGATGCGAAGCTCATTTACAGGCCCATCGGCCACATATCGCTCTGTCATCTTTATTTGATGGCGTGAAGCTCATTTACGGGTCCATCGGCCATGTATCGCTCCGCCATCTTTATTTGATGACGTGAAGCTCATTTACGGGCCCATCGGCCATATATCGCTCCGTCATCTTTATTTGGTGACGTGAAGCTCATTTACGGTCTCATCGGTCATATATTGCCCCGTCATCTTTATTTGATGACGTGGAGCTCTCATACAGGCCCCTCGGTCATACATCGCCCCGTCATCTTTATTTGATGACGCGGGGCTCTCATATAGGCCCCTCGGCCATACATTGCCTCGTCATCTTTATTTGATGACGTGGAGCTCTCATACAGGCCCCTCAGCCATACATCGCCCCATCATCTTTATTTGATGACGTGGAGCTCTCATACAGGCCCCTCGGTCATGCATCGCCCCGTCATCTTTATTTGATGACGTGGAGCTCGCATACAGGCCTCTCGGCCGTACATCACCCTGTCATCTTTACTTGATGGCGTGGAGTTCTCATATAAGCCCATCAACCATATATCGACCCGTCATCTTTATTTGATGATGTGGATCTCATACAGGCCCACTAGTCATACATATCCTAGTCATCTTTATTTGATGACCTGGACATCACATTATGGACGATCACTCGACCTATCTCTTAGTCATCTTTATTTGATGACTGGGACTAGTTATCATGTCGAGCTACTCACATCTAGATACTGGTCTCGGCCATCCCCTCAGCAGACGGACACCGTCGCAGCTCCACACCTAGGCCGAAGGGCTCACCCCTTTTGCTTCATTTTGGGGGCATCCGGTGTACTCTTTTTCCCTCATTAGGATTTTTTCCCACTGTTTTTCCTAATGAGGTTTTTAACGAGGCATCTCCCCAACGTGGACAAAAGATGTCGACCCTCGGCCCCCTATTGAAGACATCACGAGACATGCACCATTCTACTCCTCTTAACCTCACTACATTCACCTCAAGGAGTGGGAGACTGGAAGAGCAGAGGACTTAGCGCCTCCGTCAACCAAATAAGCATAAATTCAAATTTTTTTCATGAAGTTTACTCATCAGACGATAGATCAGCACACAGTTCTACTCCCTTTCGCCTTGAGTACTCTCGACTCAGGGGGTGGGAGACTCCTGATAGAGTATATAGACTCGGACCCCCGGGTCTCACGACCATTGGGCCCGGATAGCGGCCCACACACGCTTATCAGATGTCATTCATATTATTGTGCATTATTATTCAGATGTTCTAGATTAGCCTTTTATGTTATCATTTCTTTTATGTAATCGGGTCTGTCATGCCCATATTAGAGGCCCAATCCGGATTTCTCTATGTATACTCCTTTTGAAGCTTGTAAACCTTGGAATGAGTTCATACAACATTCTACTATTCATTCATCTTCCTCTCTATAGCTCAATCTCTCCCTAAATTATATATGTTTGGACTTTGGATCCCTATAATCCATCATTAGTATACTCTGAAAATATGGAGATCCCATATATCCAATTCTGCATTATCATTTGAATAGTTGGGATTTTCATGAAAAGCACCCATCTTCGAAATAGGTAAAACTATATATAGTCATTATCATTCATGTAAGTCTTGCCGATCTTTTACATAGGTTCAAATTACCCTACAACAACAACAATATCCAAGCCTTAATCCCAAAAGAATTTGAGGTCGGCTAACATGAATCGATCTATGATATCAATGCCAAAGAGAGAGACGGACAAGGATGAGAAAAAAAGTAAGATAAAACTAATAAAAAAATATAAATAAATATAAGATAACAATAACATAAGAATATAAGAAAGATAAAAGTTAGAAAGATAAAATAACATAAAAGGCTAGAAGATAAATATAACATAAGAATATAAAAAGATAAAGAAGATAAACGAAAAAAGAAAAGAGAGGAAATTTAGAAAAGACATCAATCGTTCACACGGATGTGTGCCATCCACTTTTCTCTCTCCAAAGCCATACTCTCATCCAACCCAAGAAGACGCATATCAGTTCTGATTCCTCTAATCCAAGTCTGTTTGGGTCTTCCTCTCCCCCTCTTCTTTGTCCATTCTCCCCACCCTCAAGTCGTCTAATAGGTGCATCAATCGGCCTTCTACGCACATGCCCAAACCACCGCAAACGAGACTCCTGCATCTTATCTTATATGTGCTACTCCCACCTTTTGTCTGATTATCTCATTCCCCAAGCATTTATTTGTATGTTCACACATCCAACGCAACATACACATCTCGGTCACGATCATCTTTTGAATGTGGTATTGTTTCACCGTACAACACTCTACGCCATACATTAATGCATGCATAATTTCTGTTCGAGGGGTTCAAATTACCCTAAAACAAATTAATTTGTTGAATTAAAGAAAATGATTTTTACTTCTCATATCATTTAGGGATTTTGACAAATTTACTTGCACACACAATCATAATATAAAGACGCGTGATTTTTAAATTGTTAAATTTGTTATTGGAGATATTTCACACACGAATAATAATAACATATGTGATTTTAATTAACACATTATTAAAATTCTAAGGGGATAATGTGCGAATTTTGTTCATCATAAAGGGGTTATGCTTATTGCATTAAACCTCTTTTGACACTGTTTTTAGTCGGTGGGTCTCCGTCTTGGCAAGGTATTGTACATGGTCTAGAGCTCCTCAAAAAGGGGACTATATGACATGTTGACTCAGGAGTCGATGTGGATATTTGGCGTGACAACTAGATACCGCTAGACAACGCCTTTAAATTATGTGGAAGGAAGACGTTCACTAGGTGTAGGAAAGTGAAGGGCAACATATAATTTCCTTTAAGTCTTTTCTTTAATATAAGTTTCTTCAATTTTCTCATTCAGCATTTCAATCCTTGTATACCTATCTCGGAAAATTACAATTTTAATCCCGTAATTTTTGGATGTGCCCGTTATTAGTCCTATAACTTTACTAGATTGCAGAATTGATCCTATAACTAATAAATCTTTGCAATTTAAGGACTTTCCACCGCAAAGTACACTTTCCAGAATTTTCTGTCGAAAAGTATACTTTCCGGCGTAGAGTCCTTCAATTACAAATATTTGTTAGTTATAGGACCATATCTGCAGCTAAGAAAAATTACAAGACTAATAATGGATAGAGTCAAAAGTTACAGGAATAAAATTTCAATTCTCCCTAACTATTCTTATATGAGAAAATTATTCTAAATATGACTAAAAGTCATTAATTTACCCAATACATGACCTTATTAGTTTTTTCCTATTCAAGCATCCTTGTGTCATGTCATGTTGATTTCAAACGGTTGCATTTTATCTTAAATATTGGAACCGCTTAAATCTTCCTATTTACCCGGAATTGATTTACGGTTATTAAGCCATGCGTCATATTAATTTCGTCATACTATACATATATATGAAAACATGTGTAGTCATAATTTAGGAAAAGACATGAGTTTTTCTAATACCAAGGTATTTCCCACTTTTTATATAGATAGACTTATGTAAATTTCTGTTTTTAATTTAAAAACCTTTGCAACGCTTTATGTGTTATTTGTTGAAAAAGATACCCCAGCAATAACTAACTAACATACAATAATCAATCATAGACACATATATCATGTGCCAATCCTCCAAAATATACACTCCTATATTCATATATGTATGTGTATGTATGATAATAATGTTACACTTAATTTGATGTTGATGTTGATGATTATGTGGTCGGTGGCTAGCGAGGATCGAAGGGGTTTTTACCAACGATGTTCCCCTTTGGATAATAGGAGCAGACAACATAGACGCCTCTTTGATCATTGCAATAAACAAAGCCGCTGCAACCCACTTTCTTGGTGCTTCTCCACACTATGTTGGTGTAATGCCCGCACTCGCACCCATCCCTCTCCGGCTCGCACGTGCACCTGTGCCTCTCGTGGTCGTACCACTTTTGCTCCTCAAACCATGATCGCACCACTTGCGTCGGGCTTGACTCCTTGTACAGCTGCCAGAAAAGATTCTCCCCGTACTTCCCGCCTGGCGAGTGGGACCGGTAGCTGCAGTCCTTCTTGCGCTCGTGGGCCCATCCGCGGGAGAAGTTTGCCAGTGTCGCATCCCATTCCAAGGGAGGGGAACCCACCGTCGCCCGCAGAGCGTTGTGAGCAGTTACGAATTCTCGTTGGACCCAATCATATACTGCTGCCGCTGCTGGCGGAGCAGGAGAGGAGTTTTGAAAATGTTGTTGGGAGGTCGGCGACGCTTTCTTGGGTGGGGCTGATGTCACGTGCCTCTTCTTCAGCCTTGATCTCGGGATCCTTCCGACAGCCTTCGCATCCGTGGAGGCGATGATGATTGAGAGGATTAATAATGCTAATAGGGTTATGCCCTTTGACATTATTATTGTTTTGGGCATGAATGTAGCTAGCTAGGAATGTTGGGTTATGCCCTCCCACATTCATTAATGTGTGGTTGTTGTGCATATATAGTAAACATAGGAGTAGCGAAGAATTAGGGGGCCGGGTCATTTTTCATTTGTACGGTTTTCTTTTCATTTCTTGTATTTTATTCTCATCGGTGGTCAAACTACAAGTTTACTAATACGAGATCGAAAGATTTTAAAAATATTATCATGGGGCATGGTTCATATTTAAGAATTTTGCTCAGTATAATTTAGAAGTAATTTTAATTATATTGTTTATATGTATATTTTGTTTATATACATAGTATACATACACACACATACATATGGTTCATATTCTTGTTTATATCAAGCAAGAATAGGCCTGTTGGAACCTTAGAAACTAAGGCCACTTTAATCATTACTAGGCCAGTCATGAAAGAAATGATTTTGAACATATTGTCAGCAGTCAAACAAAAATGGCTACAGTCGATAGATAAGTCAGTTATCATTCAACAAGACAATGATCGATAGACCTCGTATTGATGTTATGGACCCAGAATTTGTGAAATCGGGAATTGAATATGGCTGGAACATCCCACTTAGATGTCAACCACCTAACGGTCCAGATTTAAATGTACTTGACCTCGGGATTTTCAAGGCAATTGAATTGATTGCATAAAGGATCAGAAGGTCCTAAAAAACATAATGGACCTAATACATGCGATGCATACATCTTTTGATGAACTTACACTACAAACATTGAACAAGTTTCTTCTCAATTATCAGTATGTGATGGAAGAAATCATAAAACTCAGTGGGGACAACAATTTCAAGCTGAAGCATGTTGGGAAGGACAAACCGAAGAGACAAAATACCCCATGCACATTCAATTTGTGGGCTTCATAAATGTAATGGTTAGACATCATTCAAAGTTCATTGGGTAACAAAACTCACAGTGGAACATCATTCATTACACAAAACAAGCCCAAATTCATCACGAGTTACAAACATTGCCCAACAGACTTCACACAGGAAGGTAAGCAACACAAAATCAGAACAAACACATAAATGAGGAGACAAAGAGAACAAATGTTTACTGCCCTTAATGAGTGTTGTTCAAATCCGCGTGCGCAAAGCTTAGCATTTGACTCTTTCGAAGACATTCATCAGTCCCTTCCGCATTGCTTCCATTCGCGTCATCTTTTTCCTCTCCCACCGGTGCCGAGCTCACTTCTTCACCGGACTCGTCGTCCAAACCCTCCAACCCATCATACGTATCAGAAACTAGGCTGTCACCGTATTTTTTACACATGCACCATTCTGGGTCCGTCTCAGATGAAGTAACCGATCTGAAACGTACGATGAACATTCTAAATGGAACACACTCGTCTTTTAGATCTAATTCAGGAGAAGGTTTCAGGAGAAGGTTTCAGATCTATAGTGGTAGAGGACGAATCCACTAGCTAGGTGAGGAGTTGGCGATTCAGATCCACCATCTAAGGAAGGAGGTTTAGTGGATCCATCGGCTAAATCGTCCATTACAAGTGAGTAGGACCGCATAAAAGAAATGTGAGACAACAACGAACAGAGAGGACACCGGTGGGTAGAAGAAAGGGGATGCAACCACCGGTGGAACCAGAACTTTATCTAAGAGGGTGCTGAGAAAGGCAAGAAATATATGAAGATATTTTTTTGTTATACACGCTTGTTTACACGTTTTTTTGTACATGTTCCCTAATTATCTGTGTGAACATGCAATTCATAAAAAATCAGAATTTTTGAAAATAAACACATATGATTATCTAAATTCAAACTATTAGAAAACTTTCCTTTCCGATGTATAAAAAAGTGTTAGAGAACTTAATGTTTACATCTGAATAACGAACTAACTACTCAGAAAATAAATTCAACATGAGGTTATTTTTCCCTTTTATTCTCTTAAATAGAAGTGTTTGAAGACTCTCCAATCGGTATTAGGAATTTTATCATGCTTAACTAACTAATTATACAATAATAAACTTAAATAATAATTAGGATGTTTTTACTTGGACTGTAATTTGCTGGTCTGGTCTGGTCTGATCTGGTCTGGTCTGGTCTGGTTTCTTTGTATTTTTATAACTATCCAAGTCTGGTCTGGTCTGGTCTGGTCTGGGAGGAATTACAGTCCAAGTAAAAACATCCTTACACAACTTTAATTTAAATGTTGTAAACACTAGTTATTAGTTAATGCGTAGTATATAAATACGGAGTATATAACATAAATTCCAACATATATCTTGTCACAAATCACTAATACAATTCTCTTTGCTCGATGTAATGATCCTGAATCTTTTGATATGAATAGAGGCATGTTTTGATTTAAAAAAAAATCACTAATACAAAATCACAAAGTTGCCATACATAAAAAATCAAATTGCACTTAATACTTCTACACCTAATACACGACAACACATATACAGTTATAAAATTATTGAATTACATTAAGGATGTTTTTACTTGGACTATAATTTGCTGGGCTGGTTTGGTCTGGTTTCTTTGTATTTTATAACTATCCAAATCTGGTCTGGTCTGGTCTGGTCTGAACTGGTCTGGTCTGATCTGGTCTGGTCTGATCTGATTTGGGACGAATTACAGTCAAGTAAAAACATCCTAAGTAAAATGGTAAAAGAATAAAACTACAAAACTAAAAAAAAGGAAAATTACCTTCACAACATCGCAGCCTCACGAGACACAAGTCACGGCTTCTAGGCCTTCTGGCTTCTTCACCAAATGGCCAATCAAGCACTAGATTAGGCGGCACCTCTTCAAATCTTCAAAATTTCAGGCTTCCAGAGATAGAATCACATCGGCCAAGGTGGGCAGTCATCGACGGTCAGCGGAATCTTCAGAATTAGGATTGAGGTTCCGCCTCTTCAGTTTTTGGGCTGAGCAATTAATTAATGAAATCATGACGATAACCTAAGGAGCACCCAGTTGTAGTTGTTCGACGGTTCGAGTATCTCATTTTTTAAAAATGCGTGTGTACACCTTTTTGTGTACACTCATCTGTCCCCAGCAGACGAGTTGTTTGTCCACAAATGGATGTACACAAAAAGTGTACACCAAGCAAAGTTACTCAATTTTTGATGTTTTACTACTCCATACTTATTAGCCATGGATGCCCGTCGTTTAGTGTAGATTAGGTGTCGTTTTTGTTTTAGTGTGTTTTATCGTTTTAATAAACAAACGGCACCGAAATGAAATTTTTTGAACAAAAACCAGGTTAACATCGTGAGAAGCAGAGCGCCGGAAAAGATGAAAGCTTCAGCAGACAGGGACGCTGGAGATTATAACATACATATATACCTTGACTCTTCCGATGAAGGGACAGCATAGGCACCGACTCGCTCCCCTAATTCCGCCGTTGGAGGCAACAACAAATAGAGAGGACGTCAGTGAGGAGAAGAAAGGGGAGACAACAACGAAGAGTGAGAGGACAAAGTAGATGGTTTGAGGGAAAAGGTAAATTGGGAAACAAACTTTAATATGGGTCATCCAAAAAAGTAGAGTGAACCTAATTACCGGAGTGAAGTAGCAGTCCGTATACCGTGGTACTGGCCCACCCTAGGCATCCTACTCCAGCGCCGAAACGACGTAGTATCATTTAAAAAAAAATCGTGCACGCACGCTAACCAACGGCAACTCCCACTATCTCTCCCACCTTTTCCCTCCAGGCTTTATTCTCGGCTGCACGAAGTTCGTCTTTACGAATACCAAAAAACCGTTCCTCAAGAAATTTTTCTTCTCCGAAAACGTTCTCACAACTCTTCTGAAAAAATTTCACAAACCATCTCTGCGAACCAGCACTTGCCGAGTTCCATATATCTTCGAACAAAAACCAGAAACTAAGTAAGGCAGTAACATCATCCAAAGAAAATTTCTGAAGATAAGAGTCTGATTCGAGATGGTTAGGGTTAACAGGAAATCAGTTCACAGGTATCAACTATACACCAGATCCATGATTAAGCAGTGCGATTGATTTTTTATTATCAAAATATGTTTATTTTGTTGTTAAATATGTCATTGTTCTGTAAATATCAAAATGCATGTAACTTAGAATGTATGAATAATGTAATCTTAGTTTCATATTGTGCATCTGTGGAATTTGAGAATAAACGTAATCTTATAAACGTTTTGTGTGTAAAATGTATGTTATCAGTTGTTATCAATATCCGAAATGTATGTTATCAGGAGTAATATATTTCGGAAAATACTGTTGAAAATATATTACTTTTGAGTAATGTAACTTCAATGTATAGCTATGTAACTTGTGTATAATAGTGTGTATGTCGTGTACATTAGTATGATTGCAACCAAGTATAGTGTAAATTCAATGTATAGTTATGTAACTCGTGTGCATTAGTATGACTGCAACCAAGTACAGTGTAAATTGATTAACTTCTTGTGAGTAATGTAACTTCAATGTATAGTTATGTACTTTGTGTATAATAGTGTGTAACTCGTGTGCATTAGTATGACTGCAACCAATTCCAGTGTAAATTGATTAACTTCTTGTGAGTAATGTAACATCAATGTATAGTTATGTAACTTGTGTATAATAGTGTGTAACTCGTGTGCATTAGTATGACTGCAACCAAGTACAGTGTAAATTGATTAACTTCTTGTGAGTAATGTAACTTCAATGTATAGTTATGTAACTTGTGTATAATAGTGTGTAACTCGTGTGCATTAGTATGACTGCAATCAAGGCCAGTGTACATTGATTAACTACTTGCGAGTAATGTAACTTCAAATGTATTTGTGTGATGTAAACTTTTCTTAACAACTATGTAAACTGCATAGAATAACATGTCACTCAACTATAATTCTTAATGTTATTTTGCATGACACTAGGAATACAAGGAGTGCTACAGCTGCTCAAAATGAGAATGCTCAAACAGAAAACCAAGATGAAGTTATTCGAACAGGACAGAGATAAGAACCAATCCTATTTCTGGAGTATCATAAGCCAGAAACAAGCAAGCCAGAAACAAGCAAAAAAAAGAAAAAT